ACTCTTTCCTGCCTATGCAGGGGGTCGGACTCGATGATCTATTGAGGTCCCTTCCGACCCTAACCTCTATGAATCTATGAATCATATGGCTATGTAAGCATATACATATAAGTCTTGGTAAAAAAAAGGAGATGGAGGTAGGCATATTCAAATTGAGTAGTTAGACATTATTCAGTTACCTCTCCAACTCTTCCTTTGAACTCAACGATTGCACCCTGAATTTACTTGGATAGAAAGGATGGAGAGAAATACAGCAGGTAAGTTTCTATCCCACTGGGAACAAGGATCCAGGCTCAACAACAGGCCTTCTCCCTTCTAAAACAGCATCCATCTAAGACATGCAACCTCTAGGGCAGTGGTTTCTAGCCTTGGGGTTGTGACCCCATTTGGACTTGCAATGAGGTCACAAAGATGTTTGACAATGTTGACCAATTATGATGAATATTCTTCCTGTTTATAAATACACAAATACGAATATGATGCATTTCTTTTCTTTTCTTGGTTTGTATTGCTTTATTTTCAGTGGGAGTTTAGAGAGATGGTTGTATTGAGCAAGCATAGCAACATGAACAGTGAACATTAATGACAGTCTAGTTTCCTGTATAATTTCTGTGTATTATATACTTTTAAGTCTCAATTTAGCAACCGTGACATCTAAGGTTGTTTAACTGTATGGCAGCACAGTAAATATAATCCACAGTTAAAGCAATTGAAATAAATGTCAAATAAATGCATGTAATAGCTTTTTTAGACTTTGTATTCAATGTTGTTCTTTAAATCTAAAAAGAAGTTTAAATAATTTTAAATATTTTAAATGACAAATATAAAGACCACAAACATTGTAATGCCATATTTATGACTTGTTGATCTTGTCTGCATCATTTTGGGGTCACAAAAAATTTCCAATGTTTAAGTGTGGTCATGCTGAGGAAAAAGTTAGGAAGCTCTACTCTAGGGTATTTGTTTCCTTCTGGCCCCATGTACCTCCCTCTTCTAGATGCCCAGGTGTCAGCCTCAAAAGAAAGGCTGGAGAGAGCATTAGACAATGCTTAACATGTGGCATGGTGGCTAGTGCACTGTGCTAGAAAGTCAGGGGAACACAGCTTCAAAGGCTCCCTGAGTAAGGGGGTCTATAAACCCAGTTTATAGGTAAGTGCTTATTTGGTAAGTACCCCAACCATTCAGCTGCTGGGACTAAAATATGGGTGGACCCTCTGTAGTCATGGGTCCAATTTTATAACTTACATGCACAAGTTATAAAAGGCAGGCAAACTTACATATATCTGCCTAGCCTACTAAGCATGCAAAGAAGCTGAATGGAGGTTTACATATCCACACTGCAAAGATATTAGAATTACAAACTGTGCTTATATGCCAAAAAGACCACTTACGCAGCTGAAAAATTTCATAAACGGTAACTGAATTCTGCCCTTACTCCAGAAGTCTTAATAGATACCAAGAGATAAACTTGATAAAAGAAACACAACATGTATTATGGAAAAACTAAGGCTAACTAGAGTTTTTGCAGTAATAAGTAGCTATCACAATTTCTAGTTGGACCACACAGTGCTGTATTATAAAGCAAGCAAGGAAAAAAATGAGCAATTGATTTACTGATAAGGACTTCAACTTATGAATGCAGTATAGCACTAGAATCCATGTCTCTAGAACAGTGGTTTTCAACCTTTTTTCATTTGCAGACCCCTAAAAAATTTTGAATGGTAGTACAGACCCCATTGGAGATTTCAAATGGAGGTTCAGACCCTTTTGAATTGTAAGTGTAGGTATTCACGTACTTTTGATTGATCATAGTCAACTTTTGTGGATCCCTTAGACCAGCGGTTCTCAACCATTTTTTGTACTGGGACTCATTTGCAGTCCCGAACCACACCTCCCTGGCCCTGCCAGTGCCTGAGCTACAGTCTCCCACCTTCCCTGCTCTCTCTTCTGCCCTGCCACAACCTTGGCACCCAGCCAACTTTGCCCAGTGCCAGCAGGTATCTGCCCTGCCAGAACACCTATCCCCTCCCCACACACACTGCACTGCCCCCCCCCCCCCAACCCCCCCCCACCCCGGCCCCCCACCCCCCCCAACAGTCCCCAAGCCCTGGCCCTCCAACCCCCACTCCCCATACACTTACCTTCATCCAGCTGCTGGGGCTGCTCCCATGACCCTGCTCCCCAGGCTGTGCGCTGGCCACACCCCAAGCAGCCACTTGCAGGCTGGAACTCTGCCAGCCTGCAAGGGGAAACCCCTGCTTTCATGCATATTTCTGGCACTTGCTCACAACCCTTTGAAATATTCTTGCAACCCACTTTTGGGTTGCAACCCATGGGCTGCCTTAGACATAGCCTGCAGATCCCCAGAGCTCCATGGACCATAGGTTGAAAACCACTGCTCCAGATGTTTCCTGCCACTAAGCTTACTGTCAAAGGTGGGCAGGTTGCCAACTGCCCCCAAAATGGTCTCCTAGAAGGGCAGCAAACTGTTTCATCAAAATGAATAGATAAGAACAAAATTCAGTCTTCTATTCAGGAATATATACTTTAATTTTTAAAATGGGTTGGTCTGTTACTATAGCAAATCTATAACTTTACCCACAGCCAAGATGTCATAGAACCAAAAGAGCAAGCTTGATAAAATAAAGCACACAAAAATGATTATTAACACTGAAAATTCTGCTAATGTAACATTTCTTACACATACATCCATGCACATAAATCACATTCAAGCAGTCAGTCATAGTATTACCTGACAGGCATCGGATTTGCTATCAAAGTAACCTGCACAGAACATATTTTCAGTGATTTCAGTTCCATAAATTTCAGCACTTCGGCACTTGTCCTCAGGCAGAATTGGAATCAATGCTTCTTGCAAAACATCTGAATAATTGGATGCATCTTTAAAGAAATATAGAGATAGAGAAAAATCCTTTAGGTGTGAAGTAACTTACGCGGACGTATTCTTTACAATAAACTGTAAAGTGAATTTATTGCGGGTCTCTTCTGAAGACAGTGATTATTCTGCTATACTACATGACCTAATCTCTGCAATCAGATTGCACATTTTCCTCAGAAGTCAGAAAAAACAAATTAAAGACCACACTTTTTCAAAAATTGTTGTTGGTTGTAGGAGTCTCAAGTTTTAGGCACCTGATATGATAAAGCATGTGCTTTCTGAATTATTAGACCAGTATTAGAACAGCTAGAGACACCATCAAAATATATTTGAGTTAGTGCAATAGCTGTAGGTGCATGGTAATAATCTCTCACATTTTGTATTTGCATTTCCCGTCCTTTAATGCAGGAATTTGCACTTATTGCTATCACATGTCTCAGCACCATCTCCAGTGGCCACCACTGGTTTAATTACTTCTGCTCAATTTGCAGGTTGGCTTTAGCCTTCTGAATCTTTTTTAACCATCCAAATTTGGTGCCATCTGCAAATATGAATACGACTGAGTTTTTATTTTAAAAATGAAGTCATGTAATACTGGTGGTAGGATGCAGTGTTCAATGTGTTCTGTTTGATTTTCAATATAATTAGTCAAATGGATCAGTCTAGAGACCCTAGTCTGGTTTCCCTAGGGGTTGGCTGCTTGCAGGCTGAAATAGAGGACACACCTGCAACACAGGCCATGTGCAGGTGTTACATTCCTCTCAGGAGAATTATTGTTCTCCCAGTAGACACCAGAAGTGTACAAAAGTTCACATTTTTCTCCTGGACCAAAAATGGCAGTTCTGGGAGAAAAATCTCCCAACTCTAACCCCATAGAAGTGGCTCCAGAGAGAGTTTCTCCCTGGAGAATGACCACTTGTACACTACCCTCAAGTTAATGCCCCCCAGGGACCAGGAGTCCTCAAGTTGGGGGAAAAGACTCCAGAAAAGACTCCCATCCCTTCCAAACACCCAGGTCCCCCCTGGCTCCTCACGTACCTGTGACTCCAGTGTGAGACATGAGCAGGGGGCTTGCAGCACTGCTCCTTCTGCTCAGTTCCCAGGCACTGGGAGCACCAAGAGCCAAACAGAAAAAGTAGCAGCACAAATTTTCTGCCTGCTCCTCACACCAGAGACTCTAGTGTGAGGTGCGGAAGGGTGCTTTGCTCTGCTGCACCAGGCTCCCCAGGAATGGGACAACTAGAGAAGCTGCTGTTCCCAACACTTTCCCTAGACTGGAATCACTCTAGTCTCAGGAAGATGCAAGAAACAGGGGAGAAGGGTAGGCTGAATACCTGTAAAGCTGTCTCTCCCAAAATCATTTCAAGCAATGAACATTTTCTCACAACCAGAGTCCCCAGACTGAGAAACAGGCAAGGCCTTTGCTGCACTGCTGCATCTGCTTGCACACAGCCAGAGTCAACTTCAAGAAATAGTTACATAAGCTATGGCCCCTGGTCTGCCGACTAAGAACTGAAACTGTGTAAAAAATCCTTATGTCCGTATATTTTAGTTGTGATTAATTTATACATCAGATCTGTCATTTAACTCACTCTCATGCCTGTGTCCCCATCCAGCAATCTGACATCTGTGTTGATCAGGGAAGGTCATGCTGCTTTCTGGCAAGCAGATGGGCTGCACAAACTGAGACTTGACAGCACAGCGCTGGTTATTCTTTTTCAGCTTGATCAAAACTGCAGGAGAGAGAATACAACAGCAATAAGATGAACACTGTCTCTTTTGAATGGAACTGGCAGCAGTAGGTCCCAGGTACAATTCTAATTATCTACTAAGTCCCTCTTAATTAAGATATTTCAATCAAACAAAAAAGCCTCATCCCAAAGCATTTGATTTCACAGCAAAATGAAAACTGATATAGTTATCTATTCCCATTGTGAAAGGAATTCACAACAAAAATGTTACATTCACATAGGACACTTTGCACATAGTTTTCTGCACTTTCTTTGTGGAAAGGAGAAGAGTGTGTGAATGATTAGATACGAACTCCCATGTATAGGGGTTGTAACCATGTTGGTCTAAGGACATAGGCAGACAAGGTTCTTTGGGTAAATCTGATATATGTTATTAGACCAACTCAATCAACTGAATGCCTTATGCTCGGAGGGGGCGGGGTTCCACATTTTTTTGACCCCTGGATAGCCAGGGTTAAAAAAAAAACCTGAAACAAAACTGGAGCAGCCCACACATGGGCAGCACGCGTGGCTGAAAAGCCGAGCTGGGCTACCCAGAGATGCGCTCCAGCTGCCGGCCATGCTCCACACAGCAAGATTGACAGTGCTGGTGCCAGCCTTCCCTACAGCCCCTAGGGATAAACTGCCACGTGCCAAAGCACTCATGGCACAGGTATTCCCTGGAGACAAATAGCTGCGATGCAAGATGTGCCGCTGCTACCTGTCCCCAGGGAACCAAACATTCATGCTCATCTGGACGTGGCCAAAGGGGTTATCAGAGGTATGAAATGACCCACCTCCCTGTGATGCTCTCAACTGAATGAGAACATCCTAAGGAGCTAAACTAAGCCTAAGAGGTTTGACTGCTTCATTTATCACATTCGGTTTTCTCATCCCTGTTTCCCAGTTCCAGTGCTTGAGAACTGAGTGGTTGGTCCATGCTTCCAACATGCCTGTTCTCATCTCTACAAAACGCAAGGCAGGACTTCAGCAGACGATGGCTCACATAACTGCTGGGAGAGGGAATCTAACAGGGAACCTTAACCCTGTCGCCAGAAAGCAGGTCTGCCCCTTTAAGGCCAGAGATGGCAGCTGCACCACAGCAGGGACTGTAGCCGACGGAAGGAGGAGGCCTCATTTTGGGGACCCACTATGGAGTGGGGACCCCGGTGCCAGCAAGAGCATGGCTTTTGGGTTGGGGCACAGACCCTGGTGCCAGAGAGGGCATGGCTTTTGGGGGGGGCACAGACCCCAGCGCCAGCGAGGGCGCAACTTTAAAAAGGCCAGGGAGGTCTGGCACACCTGGGGTGCAATTTTATTTTGTGGGGTTTTTTTTATTGTTTTGGACTGAGAGGGTGGGAGTTCGGGGTCATCCCCCAGTTTTGAACTTGCGATCCCCCCCCCCGGCTGTAGGGCCAGCACCTGGACCTCTGGGCCGGGGGGGGCCGGGCTCCGGATTGGAGCAGGAAAGGGGGCCATGAGCCTCAAGAAAATGGAAAAGGCTAGAGCCTCTGAGTCAAACCCTGCTTAGTGGGTTTAGATGGGGAGGAAAACAGCTAGAGAAAAACAGGGGTCAGGCCCATGTAGGTGAAAGGCCCCAACATACACAATACAACAGGTAGTCTCCCGCTCGCAAGAACATCATCATAATAATTTCCATCAAGACGTGGCAGACGAGTACAGGGCAGGACATAAGAACTGCCAAGAAGAATCTGAGGGTGCCCCACATAAAGCAGGGATTACCAGGAAAGATGGCGCTGGGGAGGGTGACCTATTACAGACTCAAATCCTCTTCTCTTGAGAAACAGCAATCTTCCCCTGAGTTTATATGAGCTTATATGGACAACAAGAAGCTCATATGAAGGGCACCCTATAAGAAGTTCCATATTGGATCAAATTAATCACAGAATCATAGAAAATGAGGGTGTCATAACCAAATGAGTTGAGTGCCTATGTCACAGTGGAAGGTTTCATTGATTTGATGTCCATAATGCTGTGGGGTTTCCCACCACAGCGGAATCTTCCGCCGCAGTAGAAAACCCCGGTGCAGTGAAAAGTTCCCGCCAGCTTTATGCAAACACGCACACCACCATTGGCCAGTTCTAAACTATTTATATTTGGCGACTAGTGATTGGCTTGTTAGTCATATAAAAGTTAAAGCAGTTTCCGCCCCAGTCGGAGAACTCCGCGCACATCTCGGAGTGAACTTGGCAGACTGATCACCCACCAACGACTCCCCGTCACACGACCCTCCTGACCCCGGTACCGCCATAAGCCGGTTACAGAAATTTCTTCTCATCTCATCTCGTTTCTCTCGCGTCTTTGAGAGTGTCTTTTCTACATTTGTAACTTCAACTAAGCTAGTCAACTCTTCCTACGCTGTACATAGCGACGGCGTAAGTAAACAATCTCTTTGTTCAACCAGTACGCTTCAGTGCCTAATTCCGCTCCATCGGTAAAAGTACCCGCCTGCCGTTTCGGGGCTACTGGCCACAGCCCGGCCTACCACTTGACCACCACAGAGGGTTGGAAAGGACATCAGGAGTTCATCTAGTCCAACCCCTGCTCAAAGTAGGACCATCCCCCATTAGATCATCCCAGCCAAAGCTTTGTCTAGCCAGATCTTGAAAACCTCCAAGATTGGAGCTCCCACCACCTCTCTGGGTAAACTGTTCCAGCATTTTACTACCCTCCTAGTGAGAAAATTCTTCCTAATATCTAACCTAAACTTCCCTGATGGCAACTTGAGACTGTTGCTCTTTGTTCTATCATCTGCCACCACTAAGAAGAGTCTTGCTCCATCCTCTTTTGAACCCCCCTTCAGGTACTTGAAGGCTGCTATTAAATCCCCCTTCAGTCTTCTCTTCTCCAGACTAAATAGACCCACTTCCCTCAGCCTCTCCTCCTAAACCATGTGCCCCAGCCCCCTCACCATTTTTGTTCCCTCTGCTGGACTCTTTCCAATTTGTGCACATCGTTTCTGTAGTGGGGGCCCCAAAACTGAACACAGTACTCCAGATGTGGCCTCACCAGTGCTGAATAGAGGGGAAGAATCACCTATATTCACCGACTGGCAACACACCTACCAACACAGTCCAGCATATCATTAGTCTTATTGGCAACAAGGGCACGCAGAAGGCTCATTCATCTTCTTGTCCACTGTAACCTCTAGGTCCTTTTCTGCAGAGCTGCTGCCCAGCCTGTCAGCCCCAAGCCTGTACTAGTGCATGGGATTGTTGTGTCCTAAGTGCAAGATTTTGCATTTGTCGTTGTTGAACCTCATGAGATTCCTTTTGGCCCAATCTTCCAATTTCTCAAGTCTCTCCGAATCCTAGCCCTACCCTCTGGCATATCTACTACTCCCTCCCCCCCGCCCCCCCCAGCTTGGTTGCAACTGCAAACCTGCTGGGGGTGCACTTTAAGCCAACATCCAAGTCGTTGATGAAGACATTGAACAAAACTGGCCTTAGGACTAATCCCTGGGGCACTGAACCTGATACCAGTTGCCAACTAGACATTGAACCATTGATTACTACCCTGTGAGCCCGATGCTTCAGCCAGTTTTCTATCCACCTGACAGTCCATTCATCCAGCCCATACTTCCTTAGCTTGCCTGCAAGAATGTTCTCGGAGACCATATAAGCCTTGCTAAAGTCAAGGTATACCACATCCACCGGTCTTCCTCACATCCACAGAGCCAGTCACCTCATCGTCGAAGGCAATCAGGTTGATCAGGCATGACCTGCCCCTGGTGAATCCATGCTGACTGCTCCTAATTACCTTCTCCAAGTGCTTAGAAATTGATTCCTTGAGGTTCTTCCCCATGATTTTTCTAGGGACTGAGGTGAGGCTGACTGGTCTGTAGTTCCATGGTTTTTCCTTTCTCCCTTTCTTAAATATGGGCACTATGTTTGCCCTTTTCCAATCATTCGGGACCTCTCCTGATTGCCATGATTTTTCAAAAACAATAGCCAGTGGCTCTGCAAACACATCAGCCAACTCCCTAAGCACCCTTGGGTGCATCCCATCTGACTCCATGGACTTGTACACATCCAGCTTTTTCTAAATAGTCCCTAACCTGATCTTTCATCACTGAGGGCGGCTCACGTCCTCCACTAACTGTGCTGCCCAGTGTATTAGTCTGGAAGCTGACCTTGCCTATGAAGACTGGGGCAAAAAAGGCACTGAGCACTTCAGCCTCTTCCTCTGTCACAAGGGTTCCTCCCCCATTCAGTAAGGGACCCACACTTTCCCTGATCCTCCTCTTGCTACGGACATACTTATAGAAACCCTTCTTGTTCCCCTTCACATCTCTTGGTAGCTGCAACTCCAGTTGTGCTTTGATCTTTCTGACTTCATCCCTGCATGCCTGCAACTCCTCCCTAGTTGGTTGTCCAAATTTCCACTTCTTAGAAGCTTCCTTTTTGTGATTTTAGTTTACTGAAGAGTTCCCTGCTAAGCCAAGCTTGTCTTCTGCCATACTTGCTAGTCTTCCTGCACATCAGGATGGTTTGTTCCTGCATTCTCAGTAAGGTTTCTTTAAAGCACAGCCAGCTTTCTTGGACTCCTCTCCCCCTCAAATTGGCTTCCCAGGGGATCCTGCCCATGGGTTTTCTAAGCAAGGCAAAGTCTGCTTTTCTGAAGTCCAGGGTCCTTACTCTGCTGCTCTCCATCCTTCCTTTCCTCAGGATCCTGAACTCAATCTTGTGATCACTGCTGCCTAAGATGCCATCCACTACTACATTCCCCACCAATTCTTCCCTGTTTGTGAGCAGCACATCAAGAAAAGCATTGTCCCTAGTTGACCACTCCAGCACTTCCACTAGGAAGTTGTCCCCTTCACTTGCCAAAAACTTCCTGGACTGCCTGTGCACTGCTGTGTTGTTCTCCCAGTACATGTTAGGGTGATTGAAGTCCCCCATGAGAACCAGGCCTTGTGATTGGGAAACTTCCACTTGCTGTTTTGAAGAAAGCCTCATCCACCAGTTTCTCCTGATCTGGTGGTAAATAGCAGACCCCCACCACCCTTCTTGCTCTCCCCTCTGACTCTACCCCAGAGACTCTTAACAAGCCTATCTC